AGATTTATAGTCCTAGAGTTACTCGCTGGTGGTGACTTAAAAAACTTCTTACGTGAAAGTCGTCCAAAACCGGAGCGAGCGAGTGCTCTAACTATGAAGGATCTTATTTTATGTTCTTTGGATGTATGTAAAGGTTCCCGGTATTTGGAAAGCTTGAGATTCATACATAGGTGAGTTTTGTCAACAGACTTTCGTATATAAGGGAACGTTGGAGCGTCGGTGGCTCAGTGGTCAAGCACTTGATTGCAATCTGCAGATCCTGGGTTCGAATCCCGCCATGTACCAATGTGTTTTTCGATTTCCGACGTCCTTACGGTGAAGGAAAACGTCGTGATTGTGCACATATCTGAGAAGAAATTCAAAGATATGTGTGAAGTCAACCAACCCGCACTTGGCCAGCGTGGTTGACTATGGCCTAATCCCCCTGAACTTAGGGTAGGCTCCGAGCCCCTTGGTGGGGACGTATAGTGAGCTGATGATGATGATGATGAAATCTTCGAAACTCGCCAATTTTAGTCGTTAAGCGACTTCAAGCAAGTCGCTATCAATCTGTTTGTCAAGATTGTCTTGAGAAATTTCGCTGTTTTCAAGATGGCGGAGTAAATCTATACAGTTAACGTAAAGTCGTTATGCTTGCGCTAACCGTTACACGATTCTCGAGATGGAATCATACAATAGTTTGGAAGACTTTTTTACTAACAAATTATTTAAGAATCGCGGGCAACAGCTACTTATATACATACTAGATGTCGCCCGCGACTCAGTTCGCGCGGAATTATAAATAGTCTATGTGTCCTTCCAAACTATGTTCTATATGTATACGAAATTTCATCAAAATCTGTTCAGTCCTTCTGGAGATACCTTCAAATATGATTTAATGGAATTTGTTAAACCAGGGACATAGCGGCACGTAATTGCCTGCTAACATCACGAGGTCCAGGACGCGTTGTGAAGATTGCGGACTTCGGTATGGCGCGTGATGTATACCGAGCTGAATACTACAAGAAAGGAGGCAAAGCTATGCTGCCGATTAAATGGATGCCACCTGAAGCATATATTGATGGAGTTTTTACTATCAAAACTGATGTCTGGTATGTTTTGAATAATTTGTCTTCTTCTAACCTACTCATCATCACACAACAACAGTGGTAGAGCCAGCTTTAACTTCTCCGCAACTGTCCCGGCTCGCCCGGTGAAATACCACGACCACACAGAAGACAGGCCTCAAGTGGAAGCAATTCCAAGTGCAGTCTGATGGGTGTGCGTCCCGGAGCCCTAATTTTAGTCCTCTTTCCCTTCCTATCCTTTTTCTTATAAAGAAAGGATGGGATGTGGAAGTGGATTTTCCGGATGAGAGGATGCATGGGAAGGGAAAATATTTTCTTTCTGTGCATCCTCTCCTCCGTCGATTAAAGGTAAGCAACGCATATGCAATTGCGTATGTCTATGGGCAATGTTCACTTCGCTATTTCAGCGATTTCAGGTGGCCGCTCGCTCGTTTGCCACCTAATGATATCACAAAAAAAGCTATTTTTGTAAACCCATTACAACTGCAAATTTATTTCTTTTTCCGCCATTGTACCACTTCTTGTAACCCAGGAATCCTTTTCCTCTTTGAGATTGTTTGATGCGAAGAGACAAGAAGACATGTCTCTAAAGAAATTCGACTATTATTAGTTGATTTTTTCTTTCACGTATCAACTCTTATTGTCCACTTACTAACACTAATAGCGTCAATAGCCTAATGGTTAAGGGTACGGATTTCCGATCACGAGGTCGGGAGTTTGAATTCCGCCATTCGACTATTGTAAGCCATATCCTAGCACAATCATAGAGCTTAGTTGGAATGGTAAAAGAAATATTAGAAAATTTACACAAAAAATCTGCTAATATTTTACAAAAAAAAAACTTAATCACTTAATTGCCAGTGAGAAATAATCTTAGTATAGATTTCTCTTACATAAAAAGGATGGATACATAACAATGACTCCGGTAGTTGATTTAGAGAAGTTTTGAAGCACTTTGTCCCTTATTAAAGCAAGGATAGAATGGTTTTTGTCTTGTCCAAGTAATTCTGGACACCCTGTATATGCAGGTCGTTCGGTGTACTTCTATGGGAGGTGTTCTCTCTTGGCATGATGCCGTACACAGGGTGTACCAACAGAGAGGTCATGGAGATGGTCTCTGGTGGTGGAAGACTGGAGAAACCATACGGTAAGGAACTCGACTGTTGTGAAACTGAATATATATTGTTGTCTCTATTTTGTTAAAGAGAATGAAAGAGATGACATGTGTTACAATGATTCTTTTAGGGTGTCCACAAGAGATATACCGATTAATGTGTGAATGTTGGAACCCAAATCCTGAAGAGAGACCTGCTTTTGCGCAGATGTTTGACAGGCTGCAGCGGTTCTTACAAGTAAGTTAAATCTTAAGTAGTTATATTATCTCCACTGAGGTGCTCTGAGCCTACCCTCAGTCAGTGACTAGGCCATAGTCAACCGCAGTCAGGGCGGGTTGACTTTACATATATCTTTGAATTACTTCACAGATATGTGCAGCATCACAGCATTTCCTTCACCGTAAGAACGTTTGATAAATGTACATATGTAAATCTATCACATTGGTACGTTGCGGGATTCAAACCCAGGGACTGCAGATTACAAGTCTTGTTTAACTCACTGAGTCACCGTCATTTTTATTAGTATTAGTGGTTATTTACTAATATTATCAATGCATTCATTTAGTAGTTTCAAAACGCGTCACCTCTTACATTACACGAAAGACAGTGGTAGAGCGAGCTTTAACATCTTCGCACGAGTTGTCCCGGCTCGCCCGGTGAAACACCACGACCACACAGAAGACACGCGTCAAGTGGAAGCTATTCCAAGTACAGTCTGATGAGTGTGTATCCCGGAGGCCTAATTTAGTCCTCTTTCCCTTTCCACCCTTTTCTTATAAGGAAAGGATGGGAAGTGGAAGTGGACTTTCCGGATGAGAGGATGCATGGAAAGGGAAAATATTTTCTTTCCGTGCATCCTCTCCTCCGTCGATTAAAGGTAGGCAACGCATATGTAATTGCGTATGTCTATGGGCACAGTCACTTCGCTATTTCAGCAATTGTAGGTGGCCGCTCGCTCGTTTGCAACCTTGTGTTATAAAAAAAAAGAGAAGAAAGATATGATTTAAGGAGAGAAAGAGACAGACTGTTAATAGAACTTATTTATGTGACTCTTATTATCGTT